TTCCGTTACCGTTCCGTTACCGTTCGTTACCGTACGTTCCGTACCGTTACCGTACGTTACGTACGTTACGTACGTACGTACGTACGTACGTAGTACGTAGTACGTAGTAGTAGTAGAGAGAGAGAGAGAGAGAGAGAGAGAGAGAGAGAGAGGAAGAGAGAGATTTGGAGGAGCCACCCATGAAACTCCCCTTTCTCAGTAAATCTCTAGGACGCTTGCCTTTGACAAGAGGGACCTCACCTCGCCTGAAAAGTGGCATTCATTTCCCATTTGGCCTTTTCTAATAGAAAGCGGGGCAAATTGGTTATTGCCCCTTTAGAAAGCCCCAAGTGATGGGGAATAAGGGCATGGGGTGATGCTATTGTGTAGAATGATGATAGCTTGAAATGTCTAAATTTAGTTAATTATAAAACATACTATATATAATTTAGTGAGCAATAGAAAGTTTTAATAATGATGAATTTTAATAGGAGTCAATTGTAGTGCTTTCTTAAAATGAATTTTATAGTTCCTTTAGTAAGGAGGTGGTTTGAAGCAATTATGTTCTTTGATCATAAAGATGAATTCAAACAATTTACTTCTTTGATTCAGGAGATTTTATTATGTCAGAGTGCTACTCACAATATTTGGATTTCTTGGAGGTTTCCTAGAGCTCTTAATATTTCCCCCATCAATTCATAGCCTTGAAGGTTCCTGCAAAATGATTAAATGGTTAAGACCCTGGTTGGTGTTTTGGCTTTGTTTGAGGGGCCTATATCCAAATTTGGGATTTTGGATTAGAATCCATGGAAACTTATCTATTTATAATAAAAAATATAAATTTACAAACTCAGATGATATGGACCTTACTTTATAGACAGAATTGAGTCAAATTTCATATTCAAATCTAGAGAGCATGCCCACACATATAAGCACATGGAGGGGACAGAGTAATACAGGAATCATGCTAACCATATGATCGATGTGACCATCTACCCATTCAGATCTACCAATGAGCCACTCTTATGGCATGTTCCTTTCTTTTCACTGGATTGTCAATTTTGTTAATCTCTTCCAAGTTTTTTTCCTTTTTTTTTTGGATAGATCTTACATCTAAATAAAGATGATTTGAAACTTTTTGGTGAAAAAAAATCCAAAACATGTTCTACTCTTTAAGGAGTAGACTTCCATTTATTCCGTCATGTAAAACCCCACCTAGGATTAATTTTAGGACCCTAATGTTTGGGGATATAACCTCTTTAAAACATAGATTAATCTAAACTGAAACAAAATTCCTAATTGCACCCTCTAAGCACAGGAAAAAAGTAATGTCTCAAGATTGAATAGAAACTGGCTTACTTTTATTGAATAGAAACTGGCTTACTTTTAGAGGGTGAGATCTAAGAGTTAGAAAAGTCATTTTTTTTTTTTTTTTAGAATAATCATGTAGTGATTCCAAAGAAGTTACCAAAATTGTTGATTGAAAACTCCTCGCAAATAGGTCATCGGATCGAGAGAGTTGAAGTAAACTATGCTTCCAAAGGGAGCAGTAGTATGATCAAAACAAAAAATTCCCCCTAATTAGTTGTTTATCCCTTGGCCTAATTTCTAGAGTTGTAGGCACTTAATATGCGCACACGCATGCGTACAGAGAGAGAGAGAGAGAGAGAGAGAGAGAGATTACTTATACTAAATACTGAGTGATGTAAGGTAATTTGAAGAACATCAAACAAGATTATCATGCCAAACACAGGAGAAACGGGGCTTTTCTCCTCACGCCAAGCTAGGGTTCCGAATGTCCAAATTTTTATTTCTCTTTCAATTTCTGAAAATCCCGTAGAATAACCCCCTCTTATATATTATAATATAGTGCTCAAAGATATTAAATATCCATACAATAATTAAAATGGCCTAAAATGTCCATACAATAATTAAAATGATCCAAAAAAATCATAATTTAAACACATAGTTTGTAATAACAATTTTATCCTTGTGAATAGTAACCAGTGAATAGGAACCTATGAATAGTACCCCATGATTAGTAACCAATGAATATTATATAAAAATATAAAAAAAATCTGAGAGTCTCCGAAAGATTTAAAAACACTAAAAATAAACTCTAAAATTAAAATTAAAATATCCACTTTTGAAATTGAACAAAATAAAAAATAAGAATAATTTTTTCCTGTATCATTGAGGTCAAGGAATGTACACTTACAAGGAAATGATTCTTGGAAATGGTGCATTGCTGCAAATTAACACATCCCAACTGTATCCTTTAGGAAGGCAGGGGTCTCCTAACCAACCCTTCAATGCATATTCTTTCTTGATGTCCATTAGAGCATCAACTACATGGTGTCAAAAAAATTTAATCAACTAATTTTTTTCTCAATAAGAAAAACATGCAAAAATCATGTGGCCCTAGAGTATACACCATGATTTGAAGATGCAGTATATTGCAAGGGCCAGTTTGGAGCAACCATTTTTTTTTTCCTTTTAAATTTAAGGGATGCAGATATAACAGGTCCTTTTCATGAAAACAAGGCCGAAAAAGGGACTTCCTCAAAGTTAGCTAAGGCATCCGTTTGTATGCTTTTATGTAAATGAACAGGTTGCATGGTGCAAAGAAAGTGGGACCTGCCAATGTGCGTAGCCATTTATCAATGGCTCCAAACAGCAGACTAAGTCGACACCATCCTGCCGATTGATCCAATGATGGGCAAGGTGCTTCAACTGAAGCAACGGTGGCTAGCCGCACCTGAACATTCCTCCTCATTATCATGAATATCATCGTTCAAGTGGATTTAAGTTTAGGACCGAGCACTATTAAGGGTCATGTATGACAATTGTAGATTAGAGAAATGGAGTTACTGGTGAATGAGTGATAAAAGGGGGGATTGTTCATGAATGAGGGACAAAAGGACATTTTCCAACGTAGAGGAGATATTTACTTTCCCTTTTAAGCAGGGACGAGAAACGGGGTTTATGCTGAATAGCGAGAGCAGACAAAACAATGCTTAAAAATATAGATCAGGAAAGAGAAATGACCCCTTTTTAAGTAATTGGCACTATTTTGCAAACCGGTCCTGTCAGCCCAGACCTGGCCACTGGCCGTGGCCGGTTTTGGTGGTCAACTGGCTTAACCACCCTTATTTTAAATTAAATTCAAAAACATTATAAAAAATTCAAAAAAATAAGAAATTTGTTTGTAATAGATTTGTTAATGTTTTCTATTGTTTCAAAAAAGATTGGGAAGTATTTTGGGCGTGAATATTTATTTATACATTTTTCCATCTTTTTTGGATTATTTCTAAAATGCCCCAGGCCGCGAATTGATTTTTCAAAATCTATTGTTTTACTAACTTTTTTAATCTCATTTGGATGTATTTCGTTTAATTATAATTTAAACATACTTTTCATAGATTTTGGGATCTTTTGAGATTTTTTTTAGATTTTTTTCAACCCTTTTTAGCCCGGTTGGGACTTGCCTTGTTGGGGCTGGCTACTGGACCGGTTCCGGACCAGGCCCATGGCCGGTTAGTGCAATCGAAAATTGGTAATTGGTGTCGCCTACTGACTCATCATAGTTGGAGGTGGGGTCAAAACTCTTGGTGAAAAAATACCGGACCAGGACTCAAACTCACCATGGTTTCTTTTCTTCAGGATCCAGCTGACTTGGTCAGCCTGCGCCTGAGTCACTAGTTTCAAAGCACTAATGGGAACTATGACGGGGATGGTATGTGTGAGACAGAGAGAGTACCATCTTGTTGGTAAGTTGCCAGCAGGGAGAGTGCAGAGACACTATACATCTCAAACGCATTGAGAATTGGAGGATGGGTGGATCTTCTCGTCTTGTTGATGGATACGCTAAGGCCATTCCTCGATGTATAAATACCGGTTGTGTAAATGCTTATCGTTGTCAAGTACCCTGGATTCACAGGTTTGGCATTCCATGGGTCGTCTTTGCTCCTATGTCCATCATCGATGAATATGTTGAATTCTCTCAACTCTGTCGTATTTAGTACTTCTAACTCTGAGAAATGGAAGGCGAAGTAAAAGTTCCAATTGTACAACTGTTCTTCTGTCCAACCGAAAGATATGCTCGCATTCAGATCAGAGGGACGAACAGCAGTTTGCATTACTGAGGATGGCGGTTGGAAGGAATTGGGAGACACAGAGTTAGAACTATAAATAGGAAACTGATCCTTTAGATGCGGGGTCCGCCAGCAGCGGTCGTACGGGTCCTTCTCATACCTGCATGTGTAGTTTATCTTTGTTAAAGCTGGGGGCATTTGATCGATAAAATGAGTATCTTTTCTTCTTCTCCATTTTTTTTTTTTTCTTATCTTTTTATTTTTAATATTTAATTTCTTTTTCAGGCAGATGAGCATGGAAGTCAAACCTAGATTGTGGTTTAACACTGCAATTAATCAAGCCAGTTCCCCAATCTTGGATGGAAAAAATGGTTCTCTTCATTTTGAATGAAACACTTGCAACTGAAGGGAAAGTATGCTATGCCACATATAT